TATATATATAGAAAGATTTAACGGAATAGTTGTGTGTAGTTGCCAATTTTGTGTATTGTATTACCTTGTATTTTATTAGGCGTGCATCCACCTAACTGTACTGCTCCAAGGGAGAGGATGTTGATATAAAAATAATTGTTAAACATTTCCTGCATCTCTTCCTCGCCACATATATGGGTTGCCATGGCCCTTCCAAAAATGCTAGTTGCGGACTGTAAAGCTGATCCAATGGCTTCAAACACTTGAGTCAATGTTCAGGAACAAGTATGTAGATCAGAAGGTTTCACTTTACTTGCTGCGTGCTTGTTACCAATGACTGGCTATGAATGGCAGCCTACACACAGGTTTCCTTTAAATGATGAATTAGGGTTCAAAATCTCAAAAAATAAAAACACCCATGTGTCAGAAAACCTCCTACTTTTGAGTGACCCCTTAAACGTAGGCTAGAACTAGACTGGTGATTTTTAATCGGGATACTAAAATGACTAGCGATTAATCACTAAGAATAGCAACTGATCACTAAACAGATGGAACAATGCAAGCAATTAACAGCAATTTAAAGCTAGCAACGTAATCGCATAGTTGTTGAAAAAGAAGCAATTTTTCACAGCTACAGGACAAACTCCTGTTATTTTGTTGCATTGGCGTTCTGCTACAAATCATTCTTCTTCAGCTATGTGTAGCTAAGCTATAGAGGTGAATGCAGACCTTGCTACCAACATGAAACCACTGCAATAATTCGATCACTGCATAAAATGTTAGCAATTCCATAGAAAATAACTGATTTCCGAAGTGAAAAGAGCACTTAGAAAGAAAAAAAAAACAAAAAGAATTGTTGCAAACAATATGCCCACCTGACACGGCCCTGTAGCAATTATTATTTTCGCTGTGTAGCCATCGACAGCCACTCCTAGGGATTCAGTGCTATTTTAATAGTGTGACAGAACTACTAAAATTTCCTCCTATGTACGTCTAGCCTTAGCTCCACACATAAATTCTGAGTTGAATCACAGACTAATTTGACTCCTATAATACACATTTAGGTTTTTAAACGAGCACTGGCTGAAGGACCAAAGGACATATTCTATGAACATCCATTACATGCTTACTCCAATTCCCCTTGTATAAATAAGAAGGCTTATACATGCCTGTGGGTCACTTGACCCTTGCTGAACACAGGTCAGAACACAGTACAAAACCCAAGTACAAATTCTTCCACTTACACTATATGGCCCATAGGATGTGCACACCTGGCTATCACACTTATTTAAGCTTGTTGGATATTGCATTACAAAAACAATGGAAATTAATATAGAGTTGCCCCCTCCCCCTTTGGAGGAAGTGAATGCCTAGGAAGCATTTCCACAACATTTTACAGGGTCTTTGGGAATATGTGCCCATTCATCAAAAAGGACGTTGGTAAGTACTGGTACTAATGTTGAAGAAAATATGATTTTGGTACTCACCGTAAAATCCTTTTCTCTCCGTTCATTGAAGGACACAGGGAACAGATCGGAGATCATGTACTGTAGGGTAATATCGCCACCTGCAGGAGAAGGACGCTAGGCACAAAAAACTAAAGACCAATTACAGCCTAGGGGCGGCCCCTGCCGGTGGCCAAACCCCCCACCTGCTGACAAGTCTCCAGTTTAGTAACAAGCAGTAAAGGAGTACACACCCACATAGAGGGGCGGGCCCTGTGTCCTTCAATGAACGGAGAGAAAAGGATTTTACGGTGAGTACCTGGCTCACAATCTGTGTTCCAGTTCACCCCAAATGTGTTCAGTACGGTTGTGGTAAGGCATGTGGAGGCCACTTAAGTTCCTCAACTCCAAACTCCTCAAACCATGTCGTTATGAACCCGGCTTTGCACATTGGGGAAATAGTCATGCTGGAACAGCAAAATGCCTTCCAAAAACAGTTCCCACAAGGTTGGAAGCACACTGTCTACAGTACCCTTCACTGGAAACACCTGAACTCAAATTTGCAGGATTGTCTATGCACCTTTTGGCCATATAGTGCTAAAGCCTGTATCATACAGATGTACCATATGTAAGTGAGTCTATTAACACAGCACAAACAGTGAAATCTAAAAACATAAATATTTTATTGCACATAAAAACACATTTAACAAAAAGACAACATATTGTTAATTGTGACAATGTCACACAGCTCAAATGTCACCTGTATTTGGTGCTATATAGGAAGAACTCGATAAAACTGACACGTGTGCATTTTATGCTGTTGACAATAGGTTTTGGCACAGCCGGTATCAACATTGGCAAAAACACATGGGCATTTTTAAGGCACAGCAATACTGGTTTAGAGCTTTCATGTAAAATAAACCCACATCTCTAAAAACAGAAATGGAAGTAATTACAAGGGAATAAGGAGTAATTTAAAAAAGTGTCCCTTTTTTTCATCCCCAGTCACGGATGAACATTGTTTAGATGCCAGCCTAAAATTTCCCTGATATGCTCTTGTTCTCACAGTTTCCAAAATAGGAGAGCCAAGAGCCATTACTTGCCAAATCCCAATGGTGTTTGGCTTCTTAAATTGGTCTTTCCCTTCACCCGCTCTTTCCTGCTGAAATGGAATCATGCAGCTGCTTGTGCGATTGTTGAAAAAAGCCCACACCCACAGGCTAAAAATTCTCCATTACCCAGTTAGCTTCTGTCACTTGCTTGGCAAGAGATATGGATGTTGGGAGTTATTTAAAGCAGAGCAATCTAAAAGGTGCATTGGCTTGATTGTTCTCTTTTATCTGTGGAAGACCGAGATGTTTTGCCTTTTAGCTCTACAGCAAAGAAATGTTTTGGCAGTTCAAAATGAGTGGTGCTTGTAATGTCTATAAAAGTTCATGACATGGTTTGCCGTATGGCTTTAATTTCTATATATTATAGTGGATACCTGATATCTGTGAACACTAGGCCTGGGTATAATGACCCTGTGGTTCTTTTCTTCCAAAAAAATCTTTCTTCAACGTTCACCTGCAACACACACATTTCAAAACAGAGCCATATGCTAACCTGGGAGTTACTACAACTGGACTGCTCTTTGGAGTTTCATGAGTGCTGCTTGGTGACAGTACAAAAAGTCAGATGCTCATTACTAGGCCTCTGTCAAGGTCTTCCTTAGATTTTAACACCATAATATTACTGCATGTTAAAGCTGAATACACCGATCTTTACAACCATTGTTTTTTACTTGCAAATTATGGCTTTATTGTTTTTAAGCAGAACTCTGTATGAAGTATCTTAGGTGAAGTGGGGTTGGGTCTATAGACAAATGCTACTGTCACACCCATAGCAATGCTTTCAAGTCTTCCACATGATACCATGTGTGGAAAGGCATCCTCTGAATCCAGCTCAAAGGAAGTGTTCCAAGTACAGTAGGTGGAGGATCCTGACTAACATGTTTCTGGGGTGTAGGGAGATGTCCAGGTTCAATACAGTCCTATGGCCCATGGTGATGGGGTGTGAGGAGCTGCCCAGGTTAAATTAGGTCCTACAATCCTATGGTGGTGTGGGACGCTTCCTGTCCTATTGCCCAAAGAGCCTGTGCACTGCCTGCACTCATTGCAGCTCCACCACAGACCAGCTTTGAATATTACCACTGCTCTCTTATGCCAACAATGATTTCTGCTCTTTCTGCTTCTAGATTTCTCTATTCAATTCAAAAGGAAAATCTACTGAGTGATACACAGCACAGGCACAAAAGGTATGGCAAAGGGCAGTGCAGATAATACAAGGTGGTGAAAGTTCCACTACACCAAAAATTCCTTTTGAGTTCTCCCTAAAAAAGACATAAAATGATGGCACATTTACCAGTAAAGATGAACTAAATAAATTAAAAAAAAAAATCAACTTATTGCAGCCAAAATCAACACATTGAAAAAGTAAAATCACATACAAAGAAAAGTAGCATACTCATACAATACGCATAACTTTCACTACATACGCTCTTTCTGGGTCTAGTGGAAGCATTCAAAGCTGGACACCATCAATTCCAACTCCAGTGTGTACTTATCCTGGTTACTCATCTACACAGACCACAATACAGTCCACACAGCTGTCACAGTCCAGTGTTAACTTTGTAACCTGGGTCCTTCCCTATCTCTAGTCATTAACCTGCATGAGGAATCAGTAGTTTCTTCCTGTTGTTCTTATGGCTTTGAGAAAAAAAAAAAAAAACTGTTGCGTTGGATACAGGGGGCCAACGCGACTGAGGAGGTGACCTTGTCAATCAGTCTGTAGTGGTTGATATTTGGTGACCTAGAAGGAACATCTCATCAGTTCTAATTGACCCTAACTGTTCCATGGATGGACTCCATTATGGCTGTGAAACGATTACACAAATCGTATGGTGAGTGAGGCCGGATTTTGGGGGGCTCCTTTAATGAAATATCTTCATTAGAACAGTCCAAAAGTCTTGGGAGGAACTGGCCAAGTTTCCGCTGTACATTTTCTGTAAAACAGAGGTAAAGGAATGTGGTTACAAGTGTGTAGATGGCAAGTTACGTTATTTATTGTTAAACATCAATCACAACAATGTAGTTTTTACATCTTTTGTCTGATTTTCTTGGCCAGTCTTATAATAATTGACACAGCACAAATGCAATTTGCTGCATTGGAATTATATTTTGAAAATCATATAAAACAATCAAGTTTGGTGTGGAGGAACTCAAGTGGCCTGAACAAAACCCTTGACCTCAACCTTATTATTATTTTGGGATTAACTAAAATGCCAATTGTCAGCCAGGTCGTCTTGTCCAAAATCAGTATCTGAACTCAAAAATATTCTTTTGGCTAAATTCCCAGACTCAAAATCTTGAAGAAAATCTACCCCAAAGAGCAGAGGGTGTCATAGCTGTAAAGGGGTAAGGGGTCAATAATAATGCCCGTGGTTTTGAATTGGGACGTCCAAAAGGTTCAAGGTGTGATGGTTAGGTGTACACAAAATATTGTTTTTGAAACAATATGAAACACTCATTGTCACAAAGACATGTCATGAATGGGAAAACCTCCCCAATGAAACAGACACAAATGAAACCTCGGACATTTGACCCTTCCCCACTCTATCTTAAACTTAAAAAAAATGAAGTTGGACTAGGGCTTCAACAGTAATCATATACAGTTTCTGGCAGTTACTGAATGCATTTACTACCTCTCATTTCATAACCATTTTTCATTTTTCCAAATAAGTAATTTTGCTCTTGCTGTTTGTTCACTTACAAAAGCTTCACAAATCACTATTAAAAGATGAGAAGAGAAGAAAATTCATTCTTAAGCAATAATCATGCTGCTCTACCTGTGCGTCTTATGTAGGGATGCTGAGAATGTGCCTGGCATTGTAGCACAATAAAATACATATGAATTCTTCACTGTCTAATAAGTACTGCTCAGTGCTAATTTGTATCCTACCCAGCGTGCCTGAGACTCTTATGTCTGGAATTCATTGCCGGCAGAGACAGATTTCTGACAGCCCATTAATCTCGCTTCGCACGAGCTTGGAGGGACAATGTGTATTCTAATGTGCCATAAACTGAAATCGTTATGCTTTAATCTTCCTTAGGAAAAGAGGAGTGGGGGCCGTCAGTCAATAAATATGCAGGGATGTTAAAAGTGACACGGGTTATTACTGCGTCAACTGCTCGTGCAGCCGGAAAAAAAAAAAGGGGGGGGCGATGGTGGAGGGGAATGAAGCTGCTTGAAAGTCAAATAAGCAAAGGTCAAAGTTGTGTCTCTGCAGCTTTGTTATTCTGTGTACTGTTTGACGGAAATCACAACTTCAAGCAGTACAGAACTATAGTACCGTGCAGTGGTGAAAACATCCCCGTTTAAAGGGCCTCCACATACAAAATCACATAATATTCAGGAAATGACTGATGTAAAACAAGTGTTAATAACAAAGACCAGGGAGGGAGTAATAGTTTCCAAAACACAACTTACTTCCTGTCCAGGATTCCAATATTAGGAAACTATCAGCTGTCACTTGTGTCTCCAATGGTGGCTCTTCTATTATCAATCTGCTTTGCTGCCAACCAATATCAGTGTCATGGACCGCAATTTCTTTAGAAATGTGGTTACTTTTATATACATGAACCTCAGTCCCACCTAGATCAGTCCCTGCAGCCTCCCTGCCCCTCCTCTTCAGTGGTCTAAGGATCCGCGAGTCATCAAGTCTAATGCAGTGTATTAGATGCGAGGACGGCGAGGGACATTCCATCGCCAGAGTGGAGGGTAGAGAAGCTGCAGGGATCGGTCTAGCAACCAGGCAGGTACGAGGTTCGGGTGAGTATATCTTTCTTATTTTAGTCCCTAGACAAAAAGGAGCACTTAACATTTGCAGTGCGGGGGCAGCTCCACTGCAAGGCTTATGTTTTTTTCTGCCTCATACGCCTCTTTAAAGCACCAGGAATGTGGAAGCGGTAAGTATTTTTGAGATGTAGGACAAAAAGTTATATATGCCAGGAATAAGTCTAATCATATGTCAGAGCTCCTTAGAGTGAAAAAAATGCAAGGGGCTAGAGTTTATTTTATCTAACACAACAAATATGCCTAGTCTTGCTTACTAAAAAAAAAATAAAAAAAAAAATTCCTACAGGTTTTTCTATTTTAATGGCACATGAACTGTGAGGTGTACATCGTGTGGGAAATACAACAGCCTATGTGGATATGTACTCATCTGTATTACTGATATTCAAAGATGTAATATTGTCTTTTGAAGAATAGGTGTCGCTGTGTTGCAAAGCTAGTCTATATGCTAGTTTTTCTATATGCATGCTTCTATCTATGATCTATATGCTTCCTGCATGGTGCTGTATACACAGATGTAATGTCCTTATACGCAAGTAAAACTTAAAATTCAGCATTCCTCAAGATCTCAGTGCTTCATCTAAATACATAACCAACACATCCTTGCTCATCCTTTGCATGCAGAGAATAGAGCCGAGTCCCGGGGATGCTGCGAATCCCGTGTGCATGCATAGGAGATGCACCATTAGTTGCTGTCCAATGGCCAAAGACGAGCACAGGGGGACCCGGAAAACAGCGGAGGAGACACTGGAGCCATCACATGAAGAGGGGGGCACACTAAGAGGTACGTGTGCCATAATGTGCAAATGTACTGTGCTTACTTGCATATTATGAGTAAAGCCCAACAACCCTATGTAGAATTTAGGTGAGTTTGAAAGACAATCTGTATCATGAACAGTAGAGCGAACTAATCTAAGCCAAAGGAAACATCTCTGACACATCTTGTTAGTGTTAGAGTTTGCACACTTCTTCCCACCTCCTACACATTCATATTGGCCTACCAGTAAGATGAACTTCCTCACTGGGCAATAGATGTGTGCAGGAAGCAGAAAGAGACAATCTGACAGAGGCATTGGGCATACTGGCAAATTTAGGAGATTGCTTCAGCTATGTGCACGTACCTCTGGGTGGCACTACTTTATAATTGACAGCACTGTTTTGTTTAGTGACAGAGTCGCTTTAGGCAGAAAGGAACTGGCTACAGAGTGCCGAGGAAAAGTTCAGCTAGGAAATGTTTACCTTTAAAAGGAAAACTATGGGGTAAGTGTTTTCCCCATAGTTCTCCTTAGGGTCACAGGAGGACACAAACTAGCGTCCTCCCGTGACCCAAAGCTCAGTATAACGCCAGCTGCAGCTGGCGGTATACTGAGTCCGCCGCAGCCGGGACGGATCCCGACCCTGTCGAGATCCACCCAGCTGCGTGATTGACAGCTGCCTATCTAGAGGCAGAGCCAGCTGTACCCGCCCCCTCCCCTGTCCGTTCCCCCAGTCACTGCTGGAGGATCGGAGCGGGGAGGGGGGAATCCCTGCAGGGAGTCGTGAGTGACATCCACGGCTCTCTGCAGGGACATGATCGAGAAGTGAGCGAGCGACGATATGTGTTCGCTCACTTCCCGATCTATTGAGCCGACGTGTGACAGTTTAATTGTCACACGTCGGCTCGAACTATGAGGATGAGTGAAAATCAATCACCTCATAGTTCTCCTTTAAATCCTCCATCACTAGGTTTACTTTTGTGACCAGAGATATTCCGATTGGAAGGTTTTGAGCATTTCTGAAAGACGATATGTGTTCGCTCACTTCCCGATCTATTGAGCCGACGTGTGACAGTTTAATTGTCACACGTCGGCTCGAACTATGAGGATGAGTGAAAATCAATCACCTCATAGTTCTCCTTTAAATCCTCCATCACTAGGTTTACTTTTGTGACCAGAGATATTCCGATTGGAAGGTTTTGAGCATTTCTGAATTTTTTCCCCCCCTAAAATGCTTGGCTTGTTATGATACAGCAGTGTTTAGGCATTACTACTAAGTCAGGACTTAGCGTATTCAGTTCAGAGCCACACTGCTGTGACCAATATTACTCAGTCTGATCACAGCATGGTGCTATGCACATTCTGCTGTGTGCCTCTGCAACCATGCCTGCTCTTAAGACAATTTTTGCACTAGGATATATGCACAGTAAAGGGAACTTAGCCAATCATGATCTAGGCCTTGATGCCTTAATAGCCTACCTACCCAAGATTAAATCTATTGCTATAGATCTTAAGGGGTTAATAAGGAACATTTGGAGAAAGGGAATATAAGAATGGTCCCATAACAACCAGATTTCATTTGTCATCTTCGAAACATGGGTAAAAATGTATAGGACCTTATGCATGGCTTATGGGCAACACCTTCCCACTAACTTTGCCTTTTTCAGACAATACATGATGGGAAACCTTTTCACTGAGATAGATAGATAGATAGATAGATAGATAGATAGATAGATAGATAGATAGATAGATAGATATACAATAATAGAACAACAATTGTGCAACATGCAGTATACAAATCAATCAGAAATGTTCATCAATCTCATTGCAATATAATCTGATAACAAATTGGTTAGTATGGGCTTTTTCTTATATTTAATTACAGTGAAAGGTCAAATAAAAGAAACAGGCCCCTTTATGAAATATAAAAACTAGATATCTCTCTATGAGATTCACTAACAAACCTTCCAACTTGAGTTGCCTATCAGAATAAGGCTCTGTGTATATTTTATCTTAGACTTCTGCTAGCGTCACCAGTGCACTAATGCTGTAAAAAGCAGCCTGCCTCACCATTTATATCCTGACCAAGGTAAGAGCACCAACGACTCCTCATGTCTTCAATGGCCTCCAGATCTTCCTCTGAGATGTTGTTGTCGACGATGAGGTGCATGCATGGGATGATCATATCGTTCATTATGCTGATTCCTTCAGACACCTGCTCCTCTTTCTGAGTCTCAAACATTTTGGCAGCCTTATCATTTAGTTCCTGTAAGAAAAGGAAACTATGGGTTGGCAAAAGCAAGAATAGTAATCATGAATTTATGAATCTCTAATATTGAATAACCACTTAGCTTTTTTTCACATTTGAACAATGGTCCTATAAATATCAAATTTCCTAATAATTATAACACAGAGGTATTCTATAAAGGATATCCATAAATCCAGTGGATTTTCTGAAATCTGCAATTTTACTGGATAACATTAGTAGGTGTACAGATTTACTGCACTTGTTTCTTGGAAACGCTGTTAAAGTGACACTAAACTCAGTAGTTAAATCCTAAAAATGCATTTAAAAAGGAGAACTATGAGGTGAGTGAAAATCACAAAGCCTCATAGTTTGAGCCGACGTGTGACAGTGTCACATGTCGACTCAATAGACCGGCAAGTGAGCGAACACATACCGTCGCTCGCTAACTTCTTGATCATGTCCCTGCAGAGAGCCATGACTGTCAGTCACGGCTCCCTGCAGGGATTCCCCCCTCGCCGCTCCGATTCTCCAGCTTAGTTTATATCCTCCCGTGACCATTAAGAGAACTATGGGGAAAACCACTTACCCCATAGTTCTCTTTTAAGTACCTTAGCTATTAACATAAATGTATCTTATTTGAGTATCACTTGGTTGTAGATCCTCAAATCATATCTGAATTCATGCTAACACTGTCCTTCCTTCTGGAGGGTGGCTACTTTTGTTCCCCATGGTCCCGATGTGTGTTGTAAAGTAGACACCTCTCCAAGCTCACTCCCATGATGGACTACAATCTCAATACAAATGTTCTAGCTAAACATGAGATGTAGAGTTGTAAATTAGCTGCCGCTATCACTTCAATCTCAATACAAATTAGTAAACTAAACATCATGTAGTCCATCATGGGAGTGGGGAACACAGGGACTACGGGGAACAAAAGTAGCCACCCTCCAGAAGAAAGGACAGCGTCAGCACCAAGTCAGAGATAATTTGAGGCTCTACTGCTGAGTGATACACAAATAAGATACATTTTTGTTAATAGTTAGTTAAGGTACTTGAATACATTTTTAAGATTTAACTCCTGAGTTTAGTGTCACTTTAAAATTGAAGCGCTTTGCTACAATGTACTTATTCTATATGTTACAGATGTTTTTCAGACAGCGCTGGTGCTTTCCTATTAAAGTTCCTGTGCACCTAAGCCCTTATACTACCAACGCACTGCAAGATAAATACAATCACAGATATCCAGAAAAGAATACATACCAGAAGACATCTCCTCCTGTATAGCTCAATGAGTTTCCTGTCTACTCCACGGTTTGCTCCGATACTGAACAAGGCACTGTTACTTTGATATGCATGCACAAGGTATGTGAGGGCTTCTTGACACCTAACAAGAAGAAACAGTCACAGAGAATGGTAAGGCATTTTATTTCAGATCAGTCACAGGACAGAAATACATCTGCTTTAATAAGAGGGGTATTCATGTATCTATTTAGTATACAGCTACTTACTTCCCCTTCTGGTACAGCTCTAGTCCAGTTAGAAGATAGACGGACACCTTACGAAACTGGCTGTAATCTTCGTGCCACTTCTGTACAAAGGAAGACAGGCTTTATTACATTTCACACAAGACCCAGTATTGAGCACTGAACCTTTGTATGCAAAGATCACTATGTGTTAATATAAATATAGTACGTAACTGAATGGCATTCATTTTTAATAAAACGCTGTTTAGTGGCCACTGCCTGTCTACATGCCTTCAATCCAGTGATGGCTGCATGGCATTTCTCAAAGTTGATTTCCTGAAGGTGACAACAGTGGATCCTGCCTTTATAATATGTGTTCAAATGGTCTCTTAGGGCCCATTCACACCAGACACTGCACTAATCACACAACGTCTTATGTGCGTTGCCCTCGCACAGCGCAGATGCTCCAATCCCGCCACATTGCACTTGTGTTCTTTTTTTGGTAGAACTTTATTGAAATGTCACAATTGACAATTCATTCAGTCCTACGGGCACAGCAGGGTGCAAGGAGGCATCCCGCTTCCCTGAAAAAAGTACAGCATATCATACTTTTTTTTTCTGCACACACTACGGTGTTCCCATCGCAATCTTAGACTTCTTAGAACCGATCCCAGCACAGCCCCAACGCATCTGGTGTGAAACGGCACTAATAGTCTCCATTAGAAGAACATGGACAAAATCACAGGAGCACAATTGGAGACAAAGCACCATTACCCCATAACAGGAAGTGTTTAAAGTTGAACTCCAGATAAACATCTACATGTACGCAGCTGAAATATATATGAGAGTTGTTTTACTTGTCAAAGGATTTGTATTTCTGTCCTTCCAGTCCTAAGATTTACATAGGCATGTCACACAGCACAGCTCTAGGAGGGCAGAGCTGATCTTTCTCTGCTGCAGCTTCACTTAGGCCCGGTTCACACCCGGGCATTTTGTAGCGCGTTCCTACGCTCTGCAAAACGCTCAAACACCGAAATATCATTATTTCCTATGGGTATGGTTCACACCTGGGCGTATTGCAGGCCGTATGAACGCTCTACAAAGCGCCCTACGCCCAAAGAAGTACAGGAGCTTCTTTGGGGCGTATTTGACACGCGTATCCATTGGGATACAGCCAGGTAGCCCCCCGGAAACGCGCGTTTACCGTGAATCACAGTAAAACGTGCGCCACGAAACGCTTGACAAACGCGCATATTCGATACGCCTAGGTGTGAACCCAGCCTTACAGGTCTCCTCCCTATCCGAGCCTTTGAACTGACAGTGATAACTGATCAGCACGCTGATCAGCTCATTTCTTTGTCACTCTGCTCTGTCTTCACATCAGCATTGCTTCTTGCACTGTACTGCTTCTCCCTCTGCCTGTGTGAACTCAGTACAAAGGACTACAAGAGGCGGATACCAAGCCAAATTCAGGTACTGCGTGCAATAAAAAATACATTTTATGTAGGGATGCACCGATACCGGTTTCTCAGTATCGAGTACCAGTACTGATATTTATCTTTCAGTGCTCGCCGATACAGAGTACCGATATCGCTAGCATGGGGCTGGTTTCCTGGCCAATCAGGAAGCCAGGTAGCGTGTTGTCCCAATCAACTCCATGTTCCCTCCAAGTTCCGGTATCGGAGCATTTGGGTGAGTAAGACTACCTGCCCAAGTACTCGGTATCGGTGCATCCATACATTTTATGTATCAATGATTGCACAGGTGCATTCATTTGGGCCTTTTATATCTTCCTGGATTTCAGCATTAAACAAGGGCCTTCATGAAGGATCATAGGTATTAGCTTAATGAAAGCTACAGATTTTGGAATATTGAAAGTTACGTTTGAAATTGCCTTAACATGTGAAGCTTATATAAGATTAAATTAATTAGGTTAACATATACTCTAATGAAACTTTATCTTATTTGTCTATGTATCATATTCTGCAAACCTACACACATCAGTTGCCTCCAGTGCTTTGTGAAGCTTGAAATCTTGCATCCCTATTAGTCAGTCCCATGCAAACCAAGGTCAGAGTCAATCTACTTATGTTTTGTTTGGTTGTAAAGAAAACTGAGAAATACATGGGGATAACATACAAATTCAATGCACATATTGTCCAGATGGGAAATTAAACCAGGCCACCATGACTAACCAACTTCATCACCTAACAACTTCTTCTAATGGAACTAATAACACAAACTATTAATATATGTCTTATAGGTATGGAACATCAACTAATATACAATGACTTCCACTTTGCAACGTTACAAATTAACAACTTTTCTCTGAGCTGTATTAAATACTGTACAAAGAGCATTTTTCACTGACACTGGTTTATTATACCTGTAGCAAAAAAGGAGATTTTGGCCTCAGCAATCAAGCTCCACTGGGTATAGGAACAAGCAGTATGACTGGCTGTTCCATTTATTGCTCCAAGTTTCATAAACCAACTGCAATGGTTATAGACATTACACAATGAAAAGCAAATATGAAAGCAATAAAGATAGTAAGCATATAAACTTAACCTGGTATTGTTTCATATCCATGTCATTTGGACCAATATCTTTTAGCTTTGCTTGAGCCACTTTCATAATGCTTATGGATCTAAAGGGTGAAATCAAGAGATTAATAATATACAATGAATTGTTGTAAACATTTATACCTCATGGAGTATGGATGTTGGCATAGGTAAGCCTTTATGTTACAGGACCTATATGCAAAGAGCAGGAACTCAAACAAAGCATTTATCTAGCCATGTTTGTGTTGAATGTATGGCAGAAGATTGTATTGATTACTTACAATGTGAAAGCTTCTGAAACAAAATAGAAAGCTGCACTTGAGTGGAAGGTACATAACTCCAAACATGAAGGCAATATATAGTCCTCCTTTAAAAATGGTTAAAATATTACATAAACGTATATAGCTGAAACGCCAGACATTTTGTAGTTTAAAGCCCAATTGAACCTTTAATTTAAATTTAATAAATACATTTTGGTGCATGAAAACAAAAAAGGTCACAAAGTCTTTTTATTTTCTTTCGAAAGCAGCCACTGCCTGAGTAGAACAGCCTGTCTCCTGCCAGCATGCTAAAGATAGGGACACTTACCCTCTGTGTATGGAAGCAATGGGCTCCCTACAGAGGTCCTACACAGCCTCTGCTGAGTCAGCTCTACAGCTGTCCAACCAACAGAGAGCATGAGCTTTGCTGATTGCAAGCTATTCAGAGTCAGGAAGGGACTGTGCTTCTGGAGTCTCTAGGAAATAAAAGAGCTAAAGACCACCTATATTGGGCTGACAGACCCTTGAGGAAAATTAAACAAATCCATTTTCTAAAAGCAAAAAATGAAATAGGGAGAGAGGATACAGAAGTTATATGTGCAGCTGAGAATGTATAGTAGTGAGGTAAGTTAACTGATGTCAATGTGTTGTATGTCAGGCATTTAGTATAAAATATCTGCTTATAGGGTCAATATAGACTGCTCCAGGAGCAAAAAGATTGCTTGTGCTACTGCACAGGGGCCCAAAGCACTACAGAGGCCATCAACTTCATAAGGAAGGCTGTAAAACCTATAGCCTACTGGCTCAGCTGACCAAGGATAGGGCCAATCCTTTCCTCTATTGATAATTCCTCAGGATTTATAGAAAAAAGACCAGACCCTTCAGAATGCTGAACCTACAAAAAGCCAAGAGTGGTATCTAGGTAGAGACAGACGTAGGTGAAATGTCATCCAAACAAAAGGACACACATACTGGTTGGACAACTGTCGTATTTCGCCCAAATTATTTTTATGTGCATTTATGTGAAAGGGGCCTTTTGTAGCCAGTCTCTTGAAATGTATATACATACAGTAAACAGGCCATTGTAAAGCAAGATATGTTGGGTACTTCTGAAACAAACATCAAAAACATCTTCACTCTTTCCTCTCACCGCTCATCATAGCTGAGATTCTTATCTGCAAACTGTTCCAGCAAAGTTCTTTCAATCACAAGAGCCGGGGCCTTATTCTGGAAGAAGTAGACCAGCACATGCTGCAAGCGAGGGTCACTGGATGGAGAAGGTTGCTCCTCGGCAATTTTGCAGAGTCGGGAATATTCTTCATGGAATGCCTACAGAGAACTCCAACTGTTAAAAGAGCTTATTTATACCATTCAAATATAAATGCATTTTAGTCCCTGGATAGCCTGTGTTTTAAGTATATGGAAGCTGCAGTTGGGCCAAAGTGCAATTGCTAAGTTTGCATTTTAACAACTAATAAATGCTACAAAATCAAAATGGCACCAAAACTGCATAAAAAGTCACAAATCTATTTAATTTGCAACATGTGAAGCATATAAACTAAGCGCATACACACACATGTATTATGTGAACTTTATATCACAACAGGATAAGAATTAATATAGCATATATACCAAAAAAAAAATGATGGCCATGCTTCAAAGCCCAAGATTTTATAAGTAGGTTAGATCTCCAAGTATTGCACAGCATTCATTACTATATGCACATGCCACTTAAATAAATAACACCTGTGTGTCCACAATCACCAAACTGAAAGTAGATGTAATCACTAATTGAATGACAGTTAGCTAAAATACCACGTATCAAATGACTGGCATATTTTAAAATTAAAATACTTGTCTTCAACTTATTTTTTCACCTTTGCTGCTGATCTCCTGCAGCCTCTTTGCAGCCACTTTCTGTGCACATACATGCACTCCAGTGACGGCTCCATGGCATTTGTCTAGGTGGGTTTTCTAATGGTGACAACAATGAAACATGTGTGCTTTAAGTTTGTTGAGATGCACCCTCGTCTCCAAAGGGTGACAATGCAGGAGCACAAGACATTGTCAATTCTTATCAATTCTTACCAGAAAGTGTCTGAACAAGGACCATTATGGTCGGAACATCCATGAATAATTTTAATGAAAACAGCAGAATTAAAAATATTGAAAACAAGTTGTAGAAATGCAACCTGTTGAAGCTTAGATGAGATTGTGATTTAATTTATTAGCAGGGCTTGAAAAATCATCCGTGACGAGAGGACGGCGGAGCCCGACGAGCAGCTTCCCGGCCGGCCGGCCGTTGTAATTACACGGCCAACTGGGAGCTTTACATTCAAGCGATCGGGCGTCTCTAGAGATGCTCGGTCGAGGCCCCCGACGTAATAGCAATAAAGTTGTGTGTAAAAAAAAAAAAAAAAGTACTACAAAAATTAAAGAATCATAAAAAAAATAAAGCTTAACAAAATTTAAAAAGAAAACTATTTTTTTTAAGTCCCCGCCCACCACATACACACTCAGATATGCGTCGGGTGCACCTACATGCGAAAACGCCGATTGCGCCTATTGTGCCGCACATGTTACATGAGTGAGAGCAATAATTTTAGGGCCATCAATCACCGATAACACTAAACTGATGAGCAGTAAAAGCATGTTAAGCGTCGCCTATGGGCGTTTTTTGCGATTTATGCGGGCGCACGCAATATTTAGGCTTGACATGTTTGGTGTCTATATACCCGACCTGACCCCGACTTCTATGTTTTACCAAAAATATGGGTAATAATAAATGTTTTATAACATAGTGTAGGGAAACTTTTTTTTTCTTTTACTTTTTTCATTATATAGTAAAAAACAAACAAACCCAGAGGTGATTATATACCTCCAAAAGAAAGCTCTATCTGTCCCCAAAAAATGTTAACATAAATTGCAAGGCCGATTAGTCCTGTCATGCTGACTGGTGACATTTTTGACTGACTGGTGAGACACCCTAAAATTTTTCAAGCCCTGTTTATTAGGTACAAATTTTAAGTTGTTTGCACACATTGATAAATCAAGTGCAAGTTTGAAAACTGTCACTTTAGAGCTTTTTGATGAAATATTGAATGCCCTCTAGTTGTTGGCACCAATCAAAAGCTTGAGAAAAAAACAGAGCCTATACAATATTTTGTGACTGAAAAGGGGTCTTGAAAAGCCATGAAAACTATCATACGAGTGTGTTTTTTAAAATAAATTTTTTTCTTTTTTAAAATTATTTCAAATCTTTTTTTTTAATGTAAATTTCTGAGCATTCCTATTGGTAAATAGGGGTGCCAGAGTTTGTATCTGGTTATTTTTATTTTCAAAAGTACAGTAAACTCCCAGTTGTGCGGCACCCATGGCGATTGGTAGGTGGGGGATAACTGTAGTTTCTTGTTGCTTAAGATTTAATTGAAACCCTCTTTCTCTCTCAGGTCTGCTCCTCTGCTCAGTGGACGGGTACAATAGCCAGCCTGCTATTAGCTAATTGCAATTTGAAATAGCCAATAGCAGGCTGGCTATTGCTCCCCATTGTTTACATTCTGCTGCCAACCGCAGAATCTAGCCGTCGGCCGGCAGATAGATGAAAACAAAGAATTTTGTTAGCAACTAAATAAATTAAGTTGCTAACAAAAATTTTTAGTGTGCACCAAGCAACCTGACAATTTTTTTTAGTGTGCATCAAACCACCTGCAAAAAACAAAACAAAACTAGGACATGTGTCTTTGATTTGTTTTTTGCCGGTTGCTTGAATGCAGGATAATGGGGCGTTTACTGTATTTCACTGCGAGCACTTTCATGCACTTTTCGTGCATCACTATGGTAATATACCTGTGAATTTACCTCTAATATACAGTAATTATTAACGTCTTCCTTTGTACATTGTATTTGGAGAAAATTGCATATTATTTATTAAAAAGCTGATGTAGCTATAAATTACACATCATGGATGCCAGCATTCAAACACGTATATATAAACACAGATTTGTTTAGTTAATTCTATACTATTCTAGCCAGGGAAAGATGTTTTGCAGTGAAGATGGCTTCACTACATACTATGAGCTGTAATGAAACAGTTAAACTTATTGACGAAGATGAAGAAATAGTACAGTACCAGAATGAGAACGCTACATTGTAGGAGGATCGAGAGCAAAAAAATTAAAAGGAACAAAAAAGAGGAAGGCAAAGAAGGAAAAAAAGAAGAAACAAAAAACAAAATCCCAGGGAGGACCAGGCCAGAAATATTAAACTCAAGAATATTTAAAAAGACGTCCTTGATCAAAGTCTGGAGGCGAAATATAATCTTAATTATATTTAACGTAAATTTTTTATTATATATATATATATACACATATACATATACACACACACACACACACACACACACACACACACACACACTCTCTATAGGACATAATATTTTTCAATTTTTTTATGGTAGAGGTACTTACCTGCATCCATACAACAAAAAGATATAACTTAATAGTGAATATTTACTAAAAGATAACTGCCAATAAAAAACCAAATGGTATAATTACGAACTGAAAATGATCTACCTGTGTATATAATGTTAAGATTTCTAACCTAATTACCAGTACGCTCTCATATGGAAGGAGGATATATACTTTTTCATAGTGCTTATAAGTGCAGTTCCAACACTTTTTACACTACCAGCAATAAATACAGCATCACTCAGCAAATGATGAGCAAGAATAACAAAACATTTATAATAAAACAAATGTGTATGTGTTAGAAGATGTGAAAAAAATTAGGATATAAAATTATCTTCACCCAATTGAGTTCTATTAAAGCATATTTTAGGTGTCCCAAATTAAACAGCAAACAGACCAGCAGCGTTCCAGAAAATAACTAATACCTGAAGCCAAAACAAAATGCACACTACTAAAAATACTTCATTTAAAATGGGAGTCACACGGTTTATCAATTACTTTTGTAATTCAGTTATCCCAATAAAATGCCACTCATTGCTGCATTCACGGATGGTGTACAGTGAGCAAAAACCGGATCCAAGGAATGCACAGTGTTTCTAGCTTCAAGGTGCAGCTACTTAATTACCAGGACAGAGGAATGAATATGTCTGTTTGAAAACGGATTTTGAGCCTCAAAGTGAAAGCTTCTTTGAAAAAAGCTACAGACATCATCTGCTACCTTTTCAGGGCTGAAAACCAATTTACGTCAAGCGCGGGATGATTCTGCATGCCACAGCCTAAAATTATCTTGTTGGAACCCAAGCGGCTCTCTGCATATGCATGTGGTGACAAAAATAGATGTTCCACGAGCTCCAAAACAAATTTGCATGTTTTTGCAGATGGAACAATAGTGGCGCTGACAGTGCTTTTCACAGAACAAGAGCAGCTAAAAATTCCAAGCAAATGTAAACGCTCTAAGGTGGCATAAAGCCCACACATGTGCCAGCGCACAAAACCAGGCTTTTTCTACCACCCTGTGTATGCTGAAAAGCTTACAAACTGTCCCCCTCTGAACGCCTGAGCAAGGCCCAGCTTCTGCTCTGTTGGAGATAGGCTGTTCGAAGTGGCTTTGCATCTGTGAACATGTTATGCCAAGGGGCTTCTGAATAACTTCTCTTCAAAACAGCAGAACAAAGATTTTTGAGAAAAAGTTTTCATTTTCAAAGAAATCGTAAATTACTCACATGGTGTGTTTATTTAGGATACTTTTTTTTTTTTACCCTTTCACTTGATATGGAACTTGCAAAATATACAACATTCAATTTGGCAAAGGTTCCTGTTATGCCAACACGAACGGATAATTCCCTGATAGCCCCTGTTTTAACATTTTCCTTAGAGATTAGCGGACCTTTACCCATATTTTTTAAATAACAACAAACACACCTTTAGAAAAGTTTAGTAATGACAATCTACAAACACATACTTTTAGATAATTGCCGGCTTTGCATTCTTTGCATACCTTGTTTTTCTTTCCTTCCCCAGGCTTCTAACAGTGGCCATGTTTACTAAGGGGAGATTACTAGCTCTCCTATTACTTCCTGTATTAGTGACACATGTGACTGGACTTGTGACTAGGGCATGTGACCATGCACATCATCTCAGGGGAGGAAAATGCCTTTCCCTGAGATCTCCTGAGATTACAGATGAGAATTCCCAGCAATGCTCTGCTTATGACAAGGCAATCCCAGTGTGCATTGCTTTGGATAAAATGAAGTATTTTTGCCCTTCCAAAGCAGGAAGTGAATGCTCTGCACGTGTAAGTATTTCAAAATCACAGCATTGTACCCCTGACATGTCTATGTTATTATTAATCATCATACATAGAGGGATGCATTGGTAGAATTTGAGTTTTGAGTGTGAAGGTCTACTTTAAAGGTAATTGGAAAAGTGTCTTGTTTTTAGTAGTCACTGCGCTATAAAATGACTTGTCTTTGCTTGCTGTATTCACTTAAAAGGGGCATCTAATTTTAAAAGGGATCACTTACCTGACTTGTATCCTACTGTGAACTAAAACGTCCCTAAGCCCACTTATAAACAATATAGCAACCATGTCATTTTGCTTCTACATGCTTTGCAAACCGATGTCAGGCTGTCTGGATGTAACAGCTTTCATTAACCCTGACAGATATGAAAAATTACCATTTAATCTAAGTATATATAGTTATTAAAAAATAACAATTTATTTTTAAATACAGCAAGCACCCAAATCTTACTTTATATTAGATTCATGACTGTAAAGAGAGGATGAGCCAGTCAGGTTGTACTGCATTGCACAGGGCTGCTTATCTACTACTGGGAACTGGCTGCCAAGAAGAGAGCAGAGTGATGACCTGTCAGTATGCTGATGTTTCTCTGTCGTCAGAGATCCAGGAATATTGCTGGTAAGTAAGGTCACCATTTTGGCTATGCTTTATGATGGGGCTATTTGAATCATACAAGGCAGGTAAGACTTTTCACAAACATGGATTACAGCTGACTATATTGCAGTTTACCTGGAATTCAGCTTTAAAACCATGTCAATAAGTTGCACTGCAATACCAAAATTTTACTAGTAGGTAATGTTGTAAATTAATTCTATAACTGCTGCTCCTGTAGCCAAGAAGAATATAAGGCCCATACATGTTACTACATACGAGACACATGCAACCAATTACCAATGGAGTCCCAAGTAAGATCTATTATGTCAAAGCTATTTTACTTCTTTAAATATTTTTCAATAAATTCTCAGCATTTAAAAGCAGCCTGGGCTGAATTTGACTCTCAACTACAAATGCATTTTTAACACCAATTTTCATGTCCTTCTATGGCTAATTATTCTAGTCAAAATATGCAGTTAACTAGAGCCTGCTGACTGGGCATCTAAACAATGGACATTAAATTGAAAGTAACTTGCCAATAAACATTTGTAAGGTAATATTCTTTAAGTGCAGGTACCTACTGGCGCCTGCAAGTACCAGTGTTATTCTGCATAATATACTCCTACAGAGCCCCAGGTTCATATGTGGGGACTCTACATAGGACATTGGCCTCTCACCAAGTTGAGACTGAACCCTGTCCTTCTGATGCTATGCACTGTCCCTGCCATTCAAATATTAAATGGCAGAACTTCAATGGGCAGTAGAAGCCTGGGCAATTGACAGTTGAGTAACAGGTCGAGTTTAGCACCACAGAAGGGGTAGACAAAAGTCCAGGCCACGTAGTATAGGATCCAACAGGCTCCATAGGGATAAAAGCATACATCTGGAAACCAACCCAGGTGTTTGCAAGCAACACAAGTTTCTGCATTCAAGCACTGATACCTTAAAAATATTTTGAACCATGCCAAGTTAAACTTAATAATACCCCAAGATTGTTAAAGAACATGAATGCTATAAGGTGGTACATTTGTGAATACCATACTACTCTTATACATATAAATTACCAACATTTGGATTCTAAATGTTTAACATTTAGTAAGAAAATCTGAAGATAGTTTCTTCCAGGCTTTGAAGCACCGTGGGCCACCTAATGACCATTACGTATAAACAAGACTGCCAACCACTTGGATAGATACACTGATTTCACCACAAGATGCCCCTTCAAATTATTAGTCAAAACCTATGCACTGTTCAGACACAGGCCTAGATGTTAGGATCATGTTAAAAACAGCACACAGGTTAGAATGCACAGCAAAATGCAAATCTGGAAAGTGATTAGCCTCCAGGTTGTTAGGGCAAAGACAACTGAAGAATACCTTAACAAGCCCTGCTTCTGGCCCATCACGATCAAAGATCTGGCGGGCTTTGAGTATTGCCAAGATAACACCTTGCATGGCAGGACACAGCATCATCTATCACAGATGAATGAGAACAAAATAAACTCATCAGAAGATATTAAATACAGACCACTGTGAGGGGAATTTATTAAAACTGGAGCAGAAAAATCTGAAGCAGTTGTGCATGACAACCGATCAGCTTCTGTCTTTCATTTTCAAATCTTAACTGAACCAACTGAAGAGAGAAGCGGATCGGTTGCCCTGGGCAACTGCTCCGATTTTGTTTGCTTTAGTTTTTATAAATTCCCCTCAATGACTTTAAGCTGCTGACTGGACTGTCTCTCACCACAGCCACATTCTTGCTTTAAATGCACATTTTAGGCATGAAGATTACTTAAAACCCCCAAAATGTTATATATTTGCAAGAAGCAGAAATGCTGTACAATAACGTAATAAATAAATAAATAAATAATGGTGGTAGTTATTTTTTATGTTGCTTGGTAATTGCAGCACTGTTACTCAAATTTAAATTTTCAGTATAAAATACAAGTAAATTAATTGTAGTGCACAAAACACAATATAATACCCAATGGTCATTTAAAATTAAAAAAATGAGGTCCTATCAAGTAAAGAGATACCAAAGCAGTTCAAAATAAAAACATTTTTTTTAAAAAGGTGAAAAATTGCAAAAATGGTGTGGCCCGCTGAAGTTTAAACCGTTAAGGAGGGCTTGACAGCAAAAGGGCTAAAGCTGCCCGAATCATTTCTACTGCATAGCTGCCGGCCAAGAGTGAAAATATAACAGACTATCAGCTGCTATAGCAGACAGGAGTTTGTTTACATGCTGATTGACATATTAATTACTTTGGCAGCAGCAGAAGGCTTAAAGTCCAACTAAAGCATAAAACATATTAATTGAAAAAAAGCAGCCTAATGCTGCAATGATGCCTATGTACCTTTGGCACTGTCCCCCACAGACCCCCTGCAATACAGAGCAGGTCCCTTTTGTTGGCTAAATGGGGTCCAGCAGTATTCAACCTAATGCCTGTAAGCTCAGGGCATCATGGACATGCTCAGGGGTCATGTAATTTAGCCTCCTCAGACTCATACGGGAATGCTGCAAAGTCAGCAATGACATAATTAGGTGGCGCTGTTCTCTGCAGAATTCAGGAATGCCCACTGCTAGAGTAAGAACCGGAAGAGAATCTATGCCATTATATGATCTGCCAAAAGACTGCAGCTTTAAAGTATGTATACAATTATGTATTAGTTATTTTATTTAAAAGGAAAGATGCAATGGGGGTTTCGGGAAAGAAGAAATGGGGGAAAGAATGGCTTTGGTCCCAGAAAAGCTGGGTTATAATGCTTATTCAGGGGAATTATTAGCAGGCATGATTGGCCTGCCTCAGATGTATTTGTATATTACTCAGCAAATAAAAGCAAAAAAAACAAACAAAAATTATGCATATTATACATCTTTGGACTGTTACAAGTATCATAGTATAGGCAGAGACTATACAGACATGAAAAGCTGTATGACATGTGCTGCAGTAATCTCCTTCTCTACACATGTGTGAGCTTAGTATACTGTGGCCCCATTACTCCCCTTTGCTCAACAAAAGTTTCATGATCTGGCAATTTAAAGGCGTAGTCTGAAACCATAACAATGACTCAAGCATTAGTGGGGTTGGAGCAGTGAAGCTCTGTACCTCCTCATTATATCCATCAGCATCAGATCTAACGAGTATCTTCCCCACACTGGGGATCTCCACCTCGGATAGTTGGGAGCTGGGCTGCTGTTCCTTCTCCACTGACTGATCAGGGAGGTAGGGTTCAGTCTGACTGGCCTCCTCTGGCTTTGGTTCTGATGGCTGGGACTTCAGCAAAGGAAAGCAAGAAAGGACAGGTAGCAAAGATGGTAAAGTAACCAGAACAAATTTATACAAAAGTAATGATTGCCCAGACTGCCAAAACTAGAGCTCGCAATAACCATGCAAAGACATACTAGCCAGCAGTTTTAAACACTGAAAAAATATGGCTAGGGCAAATGATTATACCAGGATAAATAGGAATACCACAGGATGGACCAATGGTCAAATGAAACTTGTCCCAATAATTCTTTATTTGGGAGATTTTCCCTCACTTCCATTTCATTTTACAGGTTGAACAGTAAGCGAGCGTAAAATTACTCAAATGGGAAAAAGGAAACAATAAAAATTATTATTCTTTTGTGTTAACTCTGGAGAGATCTCTTCTTACTTCCTTCCCAGGTGACAATTCTCAAAGTAGAAGAAAATATATATATCTGTGTGTGTCTGTGCAGTCACTAAGTACAGAATGCACTTGTTGAACATTGGTTTAAAGCTGAACTCCAGGTATGTAACAATGTAACAAAAAAAACAAGTGCAAATGTTAATGATCTGCCACATCAGGAATATGTACTGTATGATCTATTGAGTCAACATAACTGTATACAAAGACTTTCCTCCCCTAATCTCCTAGTCACCGGTCACACATTCCAACCTAGTCACAAGCTTTGATAGAACAGCGGCCCTGTCTAATCATTTAAATCAGATAAATAGATTATAATAGGCAACATTACAGTGCAAAATCCACTTTTCTAATTAAACAAAATAACAGCACACAGTGTGCAGTTACACCCTTACTACCCCCCTCCCCCCTGCTCCTCATTCGGACTCACCTGCCAAGCCTCACAGCCAGACGGTGTGCACTGCAGGGGGCGGGGCATGTGACACACACTTCTCCTCTCCCGCCGCCTGTTACTAGGCGGCCAAGAGAAGAGGTGAGTCACAGGACCTGCCCCCTTGCTGAGAAGCATGAAAGAGCCACATGCGGCTCCGGAGCCACAGGTTGCTGACCCCTGTCCTAGTGGGTCATTGCTGCCATTCTGCTCTGTGCAGTGAATGATCACTTACCTAGCCCCTGCTACCTCACATCATTGGTTCATTGCATGATGATGATGGTGCCGACTCTTAGGTGTTTCCTACAGTGCAGTCAAGGAATTTCTACCTCAACATTCATGCCCACCTTTGTTGACAGACAGCATTACTGTGGTCTATGACAGAGGCATACTGTGACCCAAAGTTTTCAAAGCATCATGGGAAATGTAAACCCGTGTCTAGTTCCTATGTTGCTTGGATGTTACATACAGTTACATAGTATTTGAGGTTGAATAAAGACATTAGTCCATCAAGTCCAACCTATTAGGATCTCATTCTAGGAGTACCCGTACCCCTGTATATTACGGTCCCTTAAGAAATCGTCCAAAAGTTTCTTGAACAATTCCACATTATTTGCTGAAATCACCGCCTGTGGCAGTGAGTTCCAGACCCTAACTGATCTTACTGTGAAGAACCCCCTTCGCCCCTTGTGCTGGAATTTTTTTTCCACACTATTATTAACTCCTTTTTTACTACTTTCTGTGTTATTTTTATCTATGATTAAATTATCAACGTTTAGTTTAAGTAATTTTATTTTTATACCCTCCCCCCCACTTTCTAGTTTAAAAGCTCCTCCAGTCTTTCTACCATTTTCCCTCCCAGGAATGCTGCACCTTTCCCATTAAGATGCAGCCCGTCTCGGCTGAAGAGCCGATAGCCGACTGCGAAGTCAGCCCAGTTCTCCAGGAAACCAAAACCTTCCTTCTGACACCAGATGTGATGTTGAACAAGTAATTGCCTCCTGTGGACTAGCAGTGTTGAAAGAGTCACATAGCTGAATCATGTAACCATGGAATAAGGTAAGAGAAAAAAGGACTGTTTATTACCTTACCCCGAGTTCAGCTTTAAAATTGTAAGAGCAACACACTGCAACAAGTCTTTTCTGCTGGAATCTCATTACACATGCTATATTATCCTCCTCCAGATTTCATACACAATGCTTCTGATTTATGAAAACTGGAGCAGAGAGACCTGGAGCACAAATGGAGCTGCTGCCCATAGTAGGCAGTCAGAAGTGGTCTTTAAAATAATACAATCTGATCAAAAGCTTTGCCCCATTTGCCTCAATGTGCGATCTCTTCTATACCTTCCAATTAAAGCAAAATTATTATCAGCATCAGGTTCCCTGAAATAGTGATTCTATAAATTGATAATAGATGACAGCAATGGTAAATAATATAAATCATAAATATATCATAAAATGTGTCACCTCCTTCAGCGCAGCCTCCACACCATTTCTTTCATATGCCTCAGCTGTTTTAGTAATAGCAAGAGCAGTCTGTTCTTTGGCAATCATAGCATGTTCGGAGGATAAAGACCTTGTAGAATCCTCACCAGCCGAAGAGGAGCCTGCAAAATGGAAGACCCACACCACATAAATGACATACAAGCATCTCTCTCTAAATCTTTATTTTTATTATAGAGGCAGACTTTGTATTACACAGGTACCGAATTTCCAATTTCCTTCCTGTAAAGAACAATACAGTATTGCATTATTTCTACAGTTCTTTTTATTTAGTAATAGAAAAACTTTACACGAATGGGCATAGATTAAAAAAAACTATTTGCTTTATGCGGTTAGTGGTGCAAGTTGCACCAATTTGGAATGTTGAGAGCTCACAAATCCGTTAAGGAGAGCGAAACGTTTTGAGGGCTTGGAGGATTGCTGGGAGACATACAGCATCTTTTCCTAATCTGGCAGATAAAGAATTAGGGAGAGATTTAGACACTGCGTGCATCATAACACTGGTGGGGTTTGGGACAATGGGCTGACATTGATCAAGAGCGGGATGGTGATATGCAATAACTGTGGGGTTTTCTCACATAGTCTCCTAGCTCCCAAGTGTGCATTGCTGTATCCAATGGCCCCTTGTAATGTGGAGGAATGTACCTTATTTTTTAATGTTATGCACACTCTTGTAGGCTTAGCTCTCAGACTCGTAGCTTACATAGGGCTCTCCTTTCACTACCTTCTAGTGGAAAGCTGTACATTAAAATCAATCTGTTGCTTTGGCCTGCATGGGCAATGCACACGTTTACTTTGTAGCAGCGACCGACTGAGAAAATACTAACCAGGTGTATGAAAGGAAAGCGATAGACAGGACATGTCATTCTGAAAATATGAATGCTAAAAGATTTGAGAATATAATGCTTTCTTAGCAAAGATATTTCAGTTAAGAAATGCTCCATAGTTTTGCCCAAAGTTGGATATTTATCGTACTGTGCAGACCTTTAAGAGCTTGTCCTATCTTAGAAATAACAGATTTCCTCCCAAAACTGGTCAGCAAATAGGAGTCTGCAGGGGCTGTACTGTGTCCACAGAAATGGAATTATTTGCTGGTCTAGTTTTTATCAGTCAGTCATTATTAAGAATAAATGGGAGGGTTAAAGCCTCCTTGAAATGTGCAAAAATCAGTCAGGTGAGGGACTTTATATTAATTGTTATTAAGGATGGGCTCTGGCGTGTTCGCAGCTCCATGTGCCGATCCCGCCAGGAAGCTGACAGCGCCAATCACAGACACTGAGACATTTCCCGATCTCTGCAGCTGCGGGCCGGGAAAACGTCTCAGTGCCTGTGATTGGTGCTGGCGCGTGATTGGCGCGGTCATCTTCCTGGCGGGCTCGGCACGTGGAGCTGCGAACACGCCCGAGCCAATCCTTAATTGTTGTCACAGATGGTGCATGGGCAGTCAGAAAGTGTGTGCAAGTAGGGATAGCATTAATACATCATCTCCAAAGTAGTAGGCAAGGCCTTTGAGAGCAAAGTCTTAAGTGGGTGCCTGAACCTCATGGCCAAAGAGAAAAATGGGAAGTTTGGAAAGTTTGGTATCTGTTGACAAAGAAGTTATTCCTGTGAAATAGGCCAATTTCATCTTTCAAGGGCTAGGGCATCGTTGAAGGAATGCAGGATAAAATGAAAGCAGGAGTATCGTTTGATTAAGTGTGTGTGTGTATGTGTATGTGTGTATGTGTGTATGTGTGTATGTGTGTATGTGTGTGAAACCGCCCACCTAACCTACCTACCCAAAGAACTACAAAAAAAGGCCACATTAAGATGCAGAAAGCAACCCTTAACCACCCTGGGCAAGCAGCATTTTGGTATGCATGGCAACCAGTGTCGTGAAGAAGAATGCTGTGCAGACATGGCATGGATAAGATACCATTTGGTGGGTAATACTTTGACTGAGAAACATATCTAATGTGTTTAAATCAAACTACACAAATCTTTTAAAGTGCATCAAGTTAGCAGATTCGTGAAGTTGCTGGTGTATGAAGGTTGCAGATAATGGCAGCAGATAGGGAGAACAGTGATGCAGGAGCTAATTATTAAGTGCACAATACTGATTGCCTACAATATGCTACTTTTACTATTAAAACCCAACAAACATTTCCCATTAAAATATTAAAACCACCATTTCAATTTTAAAAAAAACATACCGATCACACATGGCTTAGTCGGTCACCAAACACACTCATCTGCTTTTTCTGCAGTGTTTTATTTGCTCACTAAAGTTAGCTTTTTTTTTAACAGCGGAACAAACGCCTATAATAGTGCCTTTTACTGCCCCACACTCTGTGCTACTAACACTTTCTGGAGTCTCAGTAGAGGTTTTCTCCTGTCGTTTGTACTAGACACAGGAGTTGTCAGTCAGCGAAAGTCCGTTGACTGGTTTGTTACACTGATTGACAAGCTCTGCACTGAACTCTCTGATGGAAAATGTGAGCATAGCATAAAGATTTCTTTGGAGGTACAGGGAATCTAAAAGTTTCCTACAACCATTATTATACAACACTTCTTTTCAAGCAGCTGATAAGGCATGAATTGCGTTTCTGAAACAGTACAGTATAACAAATACAGACATATTCCTAGAAAGCACCAGCAGTTCACAGCCTGATTTATGAAATCAATTAGAGCTCCTCTATCAAATATAAATATGCTTAAAAATGACCTTATGCTTAAAAGTTTCCCAAAACACTTTATGGACACTTGCTTAAATAAAGCTCTATTCACATCTATGCATTTTAGGTGCATCTTTGGTATGATTGCCAGCAAAATGTACATTGCTTAGGGATGAATGGCAATGCATGCAAAATGCCCCTAAAACAGGAACACCAAAATGCATAGGTATAAATAGAGCCTAAATAGAGAACACTTTTTGTAATCCAAGCATTGCTGTACAGCATCTGTTACTCTCAGTCTTAGCAATATAACAGAGATTGTTCTAAATAAATTCTCCAGCTGACAACCACAGATTAGGGACATCCTGGACATAGCAAAACATGTATTAAAGCTGTTCCCTCTGAACCACAGAATAGGGACATCCTGGACATAGCAAAGCATGTATTGATGCTGTTTCCTATGTAAGCTTAAATGTCCAGCAATCTCTGTTACAATTATGTGATACAGAAAGGCCTGCAGGGAGGCAAGAAACCCTTTATACTCTATGACTAGGAGGCAGCGTATGTGTGGCACTGCCATAGCGTCAAGCCCCCAGATGGGGATTTACTGCCTAGCTGTGGGAAAGCCAGAGTATTGGGGGTGGGATGGGGGTGATTTAGGTCTGATCTGAAGTCGCACAGAAACGCACAGAATGGAAGTACAGAATGCGTACTAAAAACGCAAGCATGGGGGAGATTTAGGTCTGATCTGAAGTCGCACAGAAACGCACAGAATGAAGAAAGTACAGAATGCGTACTAAAAACGCACAGAATGGCAAAGAGGAGCCTTCATTTTGAAATTACCATTGCAAGTAGAAGGGGCCTCTTCTTCTGAGGTTACAACAGGCTCCATCTGAGGCATTTTGCAGGAGTGAGCATCTTCCCATTCTTCCACTTCATGGTCAAACCCTCGGTTGTCCTCTCTGACATATTGCACAAAACGAAGAGGGAGAGTGCCGATTCTATCCACCAGCTGTCCAGTTTCGGAGTCTGTGCAACAATCAACTGAAACATTACACTTTCAATTCACACTTTAGCATGCAGCTAAATATGTTTTTTTTTCAATTAAGTGTTGTCCTATAAAAGCAGCAAGTGAGGGCAGGGTTGTTATTTTGTTGCGGATGTTTAGTAACATGAACCTTGATTTGCCATTGCTGGATGATTGCCCAAAGCAGGGGAAACTGCAGCTAAACATATCTAAATGTAAAATAATGAATTTAGGAAAAAAGAATCCTGTGGTAGAGTGCATAGTGCACTCCGCTCATACACAATAAAAGGTTTATTTATTGTTTATTTTATGTGAGTAGCACATTTGAAATTTACTGTTTATTGTGTATGAGCGGTAAGCACTATGGATGTCTTTTTATTTTGCACATGGTCACAGGATATTAAGATGGAGTCGGAGGGAAGAGGGATTCCGACAGGCATTATCAACCTACTTTGTATACCATTGCTAGAGTGGAAGGAGGAGACAGAGAGAAGTGGGGCTGAATAGCTGTTATTGTTTGGGGTATTATCGTGCCCTGGATCAAAATTAAAAGGGGATTCTCACTTTAAGACCTTAGATCTTATAATCAGATGAGCTGCACTCTGTAGGGTGTACACAGGAGTGGTGAAGGCACCTTATGAATCGATGCTGATAGCAAGTGTGAAAGAATGGTAGGAACTACGGATTGAATAACACTGTGGACTGGGGATATTGTGTGGGACTGAAATGAAATTTTTATAAAGAGACTTTTGTTGATTCACTTTCTGGTATTCTTGTAATTTCAAGTAGTGTTTTGCACTTGGCATTAATTATTATATAGTGTGCCACAGAAGCAATAGGAAATTCACACATTTAAGTCCTAAGTATTTCTATAAAAGGTCAGATCACTGTGGAGGGGCTCAGGAAAATCTGGATTCGGACCTCTTGCCTACTGCAACAGAACATCTAAAAAGGTAATGCATATTTAATAAAAAAAATATTTTACATTATGCTGTGTGAATGGGAACACAAACACATAGAGGGGTTCTCTCAAATGTGACTGCAAAAGTGGAAATACACTTTAAAGTTAAATGTTTTCCTGTTACATTTTCAGTGAAGTGAGGAATTCATTGATCTATAGAGAAAGCAAAACTGCCTGTCATAAGTTGCTATACATTGCACACTATTAATTATTTTTGGATCTGTATTCCTTCCACAGTTTCTTACCTGAAATCAAGTACGGTAGCTTGTCATTTATGTACATAAGACAGTAAGCGCTAGCATTTTTCATGCCTCCAAACGAGTCCCTTTCCAGCTCTTCCCAGGTGGCCTCAGTCACAGAGATGTCATTGTACTTATGCCAGCATTTTCTGGTGTGGCTGTATATATAAGCCCAGTAGTGGCCCACATTAGCCTGGCCTTCGTGAACTAGCACTGCATGGAGTTTGTATGGAACCTGAAACCAAAATAAAAGAAAGTCCTTTAACACCTGCCAACTACACTCATAATAATAAAAAAGAAAATAGATCAGGTTTCCAATTACAGACACTAGAACACCATTCCCTGACTTGCCATCCTAAGAGGGAAAGGAAAGTAAGTGTATATCGATCTTTTTAGATTTTGTTAAAAAAAGCCCCAATCTCCGAAGCACTGGGCCAAACTGTTTGACTAAAAATGTTTCCACGGTGCTTCCAGCTACACTTCAGCAATCAGGTGAATATTTTCTTGGTGCCTATAGAGGGACATAGGAACCTTTGGGTTATACTTCCCCCTACAGAAGGGTTGGACACTGGCAACCACAAAAAGCTAGGCCAGCCCAGGATATCCCACTGTCAGCATGCCTCAGTTTTCTAGCAAAGTAGTACAGTAGTACCTTAATTTGTTCCCCGATTCTGGTCGCGAACCGAATCAAACTGTGATCAGATCGCAATATCGACTAGAGGGAGCCACGACCACGTGTCAGCGCAGGGAAGATGGCTGCGGTTATGGTCGTCACCAGATGCGGAGTTCGCGAACGGAAGCAACATTTTGCAGAACTTCTTGTTTGCAAGCTGAATTATTTGTGAACAGAAGCGTTTGTGAACTGAGGTACCACTGTACTGAGAGCATAATCATAGAAACAGAGGTGTAAGGCATGTGTTTTAAATAGACTTCAAGAAAAGGATTGTCTTTCTCGCGCATTGAGTGACATGGGAAGTATTTAACCTTCGAGAGGCACAAACAGTCCAACTGAGGGGTGGGCAGCACAGAAAACAATTTCTAACAGACTAAAAAAAAAACCTGCTGGCAGTTTAAAATGTCGCCTTGAGAAGCTAGCATCAGATGAGGCTGAAACAGCCATCTAGTAGAACATGTAAACATAAAATCAGGCCTTGCACATCTGGGAAACAGTTGCTTGATGCTGAAAAGCCCATAAATAATTCACAGCTCTAGTAGAGTGCACCTTGACAGGAAAGGGTGGAACCCAATCTTGAGACCATAGGCTTGGATAACAATCTGCCTGAGCCACCTAGAAATTATGTAATGAGAAACAAACACACCCTTCCATCTGATATGACCAAAAGTAAATCAATCTCCCTGAAAGAAGCAATGGCTAAGATAAATACTTGTGCAGTCTTAACCACATCCATACACTGGAGAGAAATTTCCTTTAGATGAACTGGTGTTGGACAGAGTGACAGAAGAATAATGTCCTGGTTGACATAAAAGGCAGAAAATACCTTAGGTAAGAAGAAAGTCCCAGGCCTCGATACCACCTAGTCCCTATGCAAAACCAGAAATGGTTCCTTGAAAGATAAAGCCACCTGTTCAGACACTTTCCTTATTATTTACAAAAGGAACCACCTTGTGGGTGAGAATAGGGAGAGGACTGTATCTTATGGGTTTAAACGACAGCTTCTGAAGTCCAGAGAGAACCAAATTTAGATTCCATAAAGTCACAGCGGAACAGGCAAAGGGAGCTACATTGGAGACTGTTGTACAAAAGTCTTAGGCCTTGTTCACACCAAATGCAGAGCAGATCCGGTCAAATTTCTGCACACGCACACTAGTCTCTTAGACGCATTTTTGGACGCGTTCCGGGCTCTTTTTGGTAAGAAAAAAAATATATATATTTTTTAAAATTTTAAAATGGGCTTCCAATGTGTTCCAGGCATTGACATGCGTTTTTGATACGTTCCAGAGCAGGTAAAATAGGGCCTGCTGCAGTTTTTTCACCTGCTCTGGATCTGTTCTGCAACTGCACGCTGCAATGTGAACTGGAGCAAAAAATACCATTGGAATACATTGGATAGCAGTCCGATCCAGTGAGTCTGCACCTGCTCTGCTCTGGGTGTGAACAAGCCCTTAATCAAAAGGCTGAGAAACAGCCTCTGAAACAAGCAAGAAAGGGGAGGAACGTAAATCTTAATACAGTTGAGAGCCAAGGATGGTTCAGACCCAGCTGTGGGAAGGATGATATTCATCCCAAGAAGAAAGTCCTGAGGTGGAACTCCCGAGACTCAGAACAAGTTAAGTATGCCTTCAATGTTCGATGATAGACCTTGTGAGAGGTAGATTTCCTAGCGTTTAGCACTGTAGGAACCACAGACTGAAAGATACTCCTGTCCCCCAGAACTTGTGCTTTAACAGCAATGTCGTTAAGCCATCGACTGTGAAACAGGATGGCAAAATCGGACCTTAGGACAGAGGATCCTGGCACAGCCCACAGTGTGTGTACCAGGAGTCTTAGCAGGCCAGTCCAAAGAAATGAGGATCACCGAAATTGCTAAAAGGTGCCAGTAAAAAATAAGGTTTTAACACAACAGTGCTGAAAGAAAAGATGTCCATCCTCCTAGAACACTAGCAAAAAGACTGAGGCATGCTGGTAGTGGGAAGGGTTATCCTGGGCTGGTCTACAATTTTTTGTTTGGTTGTAGATGGCAGGGTAACCCAAAGGTTACAGACTTCTAGTGTCCCTGAATGGATGAAAAAGAAAAAAAAAAAAAAAAAAGTTGCCTGCTGCTTTTAACCTCCATTCATGTAATAATTCTAAAGCCTATGGGAATTGCCCCACATCCCATATGCTTCTCAAACAAGTGCAAAGCCCATATCAACCGTGTTATGTGTTTTTTGGAAGGCTGAACGGTTTACTTATAAAGGAAACCTTACAATCAGGTTTAAAGGGCCATTTGCTAGTAACAAATGTAATGACAAGATTCAGTACATTGGTATTTTTTTAACATGTCCTTATTTACATTTTCTCCACATTTACACCCAGACCAAGCAGTCTAGCAAAAGGGGACAATAATGGGGTTGGTAAACGTTATATCACTCCCACAGATGCTTACTATTACTTTTTACTCACATGGTTTCATTTTTTTAACCAACAAACTTGTAGCTATTGCCACAACTGCTCAAGCACCCCTGGAATGACCATATTTTGTTCCTGGCGCTGTCGCATTTGCTGGCAGCCTCTTCTGCATGTACAGGATATGTGAAATAAATTAGGTTTACATACTGAACAGTATCAATGCAAGTATACCTACAGTTGTTCAAAATGTTTTGCAATAGTGGCCCTTTATCCAGGAGGAGACACTAAGTCATATCTAAAATTACAGCACATTTTATCAGGTTGGAAAGCAGATATAGGAGTGGGTCCGCCATGTTACTAGAGAGTCAGCAGCAGTAGAAAAAGATGAGCTTTGCCTAGAAAGCCAATTTAAACTAAAGTGCACCTTTGGAGTGTTTTATTTCAGTGCACGCAAGCACGCACACTCTAACAGAGCGACTCCACTGACTCAGATTTAGCCATGTGCATCAACACAAATTCCAACGTTACGCAGAGAGAATTCTCAGCTGTTGACACAAAGCTGGACTTCATTCACACATTGCCCTGAAGCCGCCCCACTTCTCAAGCACCTTGTTCAATCAGCTGGAGCATGACACAGGATATTTAAGCTCTTAGACACCAGATTTTAAAGCTGATGTCAGATTGCACACTCAGAGCAGGCAATTTTTGGAACATGCAGCACATGGATATTTTTGGAACAAGCAACACGTGGAAAACGATATCACATAGCTCACATAGAATACGGACAGCTGTGTGCTTGCCTAGTGATATGCAATAAAACAGTAACATATGTACTTAATTATCTTCCAAACATTTAAAAAGTATGCAGGTATGAAATTACAGCTCTACTATTTTAGAGAAGGCTCCAGCACAGAAATTACAGACAAGGCAGGCAAAATTGAACATCTGCTATGAAATCGTGGGAATCCCAAAGAGAAGTTAAAGTTTTTAGATAGGCAAAGCAGAAATCAGAGTAGATCTTTTTTTACCAGAGACAACATTAAGATAAGAAGAAATGTTGGCAACAAATGGATGCACAGTGGATAAAGGCTACAATGAATAGATGAATGGTGCATAATGGCAATGCCAAATGGATGGCAACAGTAATGGTTGGATCAATGTGAATGATGATGAGCAAGCAGAGCAGACACATTTGTCTTAAAGCTGAACTCCATGCAGATTGAAAAAAAACTAAACGCATTCAGATATGGGGTCCCCAAAAAACTTAGAAAGTGTATCTTTAAAGCATACGAGTCCCTTATTAACCTCGGACTGGGAGAGGGAGAAGCAGAACAAGAAACCAAGTTGTGCTTTAGTGCTCAGCAGCAAGCCACAAACTGATATGAGGCAAGAGCAGTGTGGCACAGAGATGAGTTCATCAGTCTGTTACCTCTCCTTCAGTGTTCAGTCTCAGGCTGGTGTAGGGAGAAGACCTGACTATCACTTAACTACAGTAATGAAAGGTCAGGTCTTCAGGCTTGCTGTGCTATGTGGCAGGGCTGTGTAGACCTTAGGAATGAACAGAGCAGAATCAACAGCTGCCATATGTATTTGCAATTCTTTATTAATGATTGTATATATGCAGATGTCATATATGTTCCTAGTAGATAAAACATAGGACTGAATGTGTCCCAAACTTTTTTTTAATATTCTATGGGGGATTCTTTAGTATGAGGGGCTACAAAAGACGGCTAGATTTCCAGATTTAAAAGAAAATGTAATGACAATACACAATCATTACCTGCATCAGGTCAGGCTCATTGTAGATGTCATCAATCATTGCTGTTAAATTGGCAATAGATACCTTTATGTCTGAGGAAATAAGCAGGGGACAATTTAATATTCGTTCATCTGTGGCTTAGCTTCTATTACTCTACTAGGCTATCGCATTGAGACAGAATTAAGTGTACATAAACAGAGAAGCACTTTTTTTCTGTTTTCATTAGGGGAAGAGAAGTGTAGAATATACATTTAACCAGAAGGAAATTTGAGACAGATCTGGCTCATTTCCAACCAGCTAGATATCTCAAAATGACACAAACAGCCATTGAAACTGCCTTTGTAGAAGACAGTTCAACATACCTACAGCCTTTAATGCTGCCAATACATGTAATGATAAGCAATTGATCAATCATAGATTTGGTGGCTTCAAAGAATCAATTGGTCAACTGTTTGGTTCAACAAAGAAAAACAATGATTCCGTCATACATTTCATTATAACTTTTTTTTTTTCTACGAACAATTGTTATTTTACTATAAAAATCATGATTTATTGACCAAACTGCAACAATGACTTCTGAGAGACAATCAGTTTGTTAGGTGTATGGCCAACTTAACTCTGAGCAGAACCGAACTACATAACACCACGGACATTGAGCATCAGAATGCCAATGCAGATACCTGTTAAATCAACAAATACAGACAGCTAGAAGGAGCTTCCCCCAAAATGTAGGCTCAGCCTTCTTACATGGGGACTGGAGTATGTAACCATATATTAAAATATGACTATTAAACTCAGCATTCCAGAGGCTCACTGATGCATAAACCATGTAATGGAACCAAACTGAGTCAGTAAAATCCCTGACACACATCTTTCTCAACGAGTCAAAAACATAAAACAAACCTCTCAAAATGAACTTAAGTTTAAAGGAGAACTATGAGGCGAGTGCTTTTCACTCATCTCATAGTTCTAGCTGACCTGTGACAATGAGACTGTCACAGGTCGGCTCAGTAGATCGGGAAGTGAGCAAACACATACCGGCGTTCCCTCACTTCTTGATCCTGTCACTGCAGAGAGCCGTGACAGGGGAGTGACTGGATTCCCCCCTCCCCTGTCCGATCCTCCAGCGCTGACAGGCAGAACGGACGGGGGAGGGGGCGGGTACAGCTGGCTCTGCCTCTAGATAGGCAGAGCCAGCTGTCACTCACACAGCTGGGTGGATCCAGACATAATTGTCAGGATTCGTTTCAGCTGCGGCGTCTCAGTATACCGCTAGCTGTATCTTGCGGTATACTGAGCTTAGGGTGATGGGAGGACGCTAGTTTGTGTCCTCCCGTTACCCTAAGGAGAACTATGGGGAAAAGCCCTAACCCCATAGTTCTCCTTCAATAAAAAGAACACTCAAATCCAACATGATTTTAATATTCCATGTGAAAAAAATAATTTTAATTCTGCTACCACATATTTTAGCTGAAGTAGGCTAACATACCAAATGATCAATCATTAAATTCACCAAAGACATACGCGTTTTAGTACAGTTCTACTATTTTGGACTGTACATGTCCCTTTGCAATATTTATTTAACCTCTTCCTTTATTTTTCTCCCTTTTGTCCTAAGCAAACACACAAGCTACCAAATCGTGGCCCACCTGACCTTCAATGTCTTGTTCCACTTCAGCTCTCCACCTCTGCAGGCACGTTTCCACGGAGCGGAGTTCTTCCTTTGTGGCTGAATGTGGAGCTGGTTCTTCAATAGATCCCATGCAACTTTCATCAATAGACTGTAGGGAATAAGATTCATCCTCCAGGAAAGGAAGGCGTGGTTCTTCCCTGCTTAAGTGTTCAATGTGCCCATTCATTAGAGGACTAAATGGAGAAAGCAAATCAAGATTACTACAAAGATTCATAAACAATGCTATAATATATGAGGGGTAAGAGGGATGTTATGTTGACCATGCTTTTTAGTTGGTTATTTCATGTTTTTTTTTTTATTTGCCAAATTAAAAGGAGAACTATGGGGTAAGTGTTTTTCCCCATAGTTCTCCTAAGGGTAACGGGAGGACACATCCTCCCGTGACCCAAAGCTCAGTATATCGCGAGCTACAGTTCGCGGTATTCCGAGACTGCCGCAGCCGGGACAGATCCCGACATTACTGTCGAGATCCACCCAGCTTCGTGAGCGACAGCTGGCTCTGCCTATCTAGAGGCAGAGCCAGCTGTACCCGCCCCATCCGTTCCGCCAGTCTGCGCTGGAGGATCGGACAGGGGAGCTTGGAGAGGAGTCTACTTTACAACACACATCGGGACCATGGGGAACAAAAGTAGCCACCCTCCAGAAGGAAGGACAGTGTTAGCATGAATTCAGATATGATTTGAGAATCTACAACCAAGTGATACTCAAATAAGATACATTTATGTTAATAGCTAAGGTACTTAAAAGAGAACTATGGGGTAAGTGGTTTTCCCCATAGTTCTCTTAATGGTCACGGGAGGATATAAACTAAGCTGGAGAATCGGAGCGGCGAGGGGGGGGAATCCCTGCAGGGAGCCGTGAGCGACAGTCACGGCTCTCTGCAGGGCCATGATCGAGAAGTGAGCGAGCGACGGTATGCATTCGCTCACTTCCCGATCTATTGAGCCGACATGTGACAGTTTCATTGTGGGGCTACCCACATGTAGATGCCTACCCCCCTATTTTATCCAAATCTTCCTGTAATATTACTACCGTATTTGCCGGCGTATAAGACGACTGGGCGTATAAGACGGCTGGGCGTATAAGACGACCCCACACATTGTGTAAAAATATAGGTTTTGGGCTATACTCGTCGTATAAGACGAGTATAGCCCAAAACTATGTTTAAATGCACTTACTAACCTCCTTGGCGGTATTCCCGAGTGTGGCTCGGGGTTAATTTTCAGTACCATAAGTGTTAACCCCGAGCCAAGAATACAAAGCCTGCCGTGATTGGCTCAGCGCGGTATACTGTATGTAGCCGAAGCTACATACTGTATACCGAAGTATACCCGGCGTATAAGACGACCCCCGATTTTCGGGCGATTTTTTGGGGTCTCAAACCCCGTTTTATACGCCGGCAAATACGGTATGTCTTCTGTCGAGTTTACTACCCTACACATTTTGGTATCGTCAGCAAAAATTGTAATATTGCTATTAATAGCAGTCCCAATATCATTGATAAACAGGTTGAACAGCAATAGCCCCGAAACAGAACCCTGTGGCACGCCACTGTCAACCGAGGACCACTTTGAGAATGAGCCATTCATTGATACTCTCTGGACACGTTCACTTAGCCAGTTCTCTATCCAAGTACACATCATTTCATCAATGCCTAAAGACTGGCGCTTGTAAATTAAACCTGAGGTACCGTATGCAGAAATCAGGGTACACTACATCCACTGGCTTTCCTCTATCTAGGTTGCCACTCGCCTCTTCACAGAACGTTAATAGGTTGGTTTAACAGCTTCCTGGAAAACACTAAAACGCAGGAAGTATGGAGGCTGCCACTGCTCATTTCTTCTAAAAATGTGTTCCCTGGCTGTCATGTTGATCCAGTGGCTTCAGTACTTTTTCTGTCGCTGACTAGCAACAAGTACATAGATATGGAGTTCTGCCTTCACACTGAAATCATTGTCTTAGAAAGTGCTGAAGTCATACACAGCCAGGCAACTAGCATTTCAAGGAGATTAGCAATGGAATTCCCTGCATTTCAAAGAGCACAGATTTCCTTTAAATAACATCTAACCAGTTTAGGTTATATATATAGTGATTCAATCCAATCAGTAGCAAGGTACTACATATTCTAATTACTTGTTTTGCAAAAAGAGAGGTCTTTCTTTTATAGAAACAGATGACAAAACTCTGTGACCTTAATATGCCTTATCAACCTAATTACATACCAGAACTGCTAGTGCCACTGCCTGGTAAAGACATTTCATATGTTTTTTGTGAAAGACTGTATTCTGGAGCCATATTTGAATAGCCTCATATTGCACAGGGAGATGACGTCATTGTATGATGATTTCCTACATTGTCTCCAGAGTTTTGTCATTTTCAGGCACACATAGACCTTTCTCCAGACTGATTCAAGATGAGAGAGAATGCTGGCATCACCTACCTCTTGATTAATATTGCAGGATGTTAGTTTTCAGTTCAGGAATGTCACAGGAAATCAGAGCACACAGTGGAAAGCACCAAGCTTTTTACACCAGAAACAGGAGATGGATATTATTTTTATTAAATGCACTAAAGATTTTACTGTGAGAATGTTTGTTAGTGCATGCTTTGCATGATAGCAAGACAGGCACAGAAAAACAAAGCACAAAAATCATTCCAGTTATCCAGTTTAGATAATCCTAGATCAGTCTACAAAGCTGAAGAGACAAACATAAAATTATATTTTGGAATTTAAATCTGTAGTCTTGACAAAAAATGTCTAAATAAGAGAAACAAATGCGTTCTTATGTCAGTCTTGGTGTGCTAAGTATATTTCTTCCAGATGTGTGAAGTAACCCTGCATGAAACGACTTCTGCACTTAGTCTCTGTAATAAAGACGAGTCAGTCTTGCTCACTTTCCTTATACAGGGTGACTGGTCTTGTATTCGCCCCTCCTATAGTTTTCTGCAGGTAGCCTGTAGTAGGTGGGTCTTACTACAGTTCCCTCTCTGCACATGCTATGAGCATCCCAATGCAAAAGGCATTTACAAAAGTAGACGTACAGTGGGGCAAAAAAGTATTTAGTCAGCCACCAATTGTGCAAGTTCTCCCACTTAAAAAGATTGTGGCTATTGAGAAATAGAATTGAAAAACAAATTCTGGGACAAAATTTTTGTGCTCTGCCATCAGAATCTACAAAAATGGTTCCGTTTACACCAGAGTTCTTTCCTAAGCTAACCACACAGTAAATGTTGCAACCTTTGGTTCAAGTAAGAGGTAACTCTTAGGTGATAAACTCTTGTAGACATTTGAAACGATCCCTTCGCTATGCGTGTTACAACTGGAGACTGCTTGAATTGTGTATAAGAATTGTAGCTGGCTGGGCAGTACAACCAAGCTCTATAAATGACCTGAAATTGAAAAGCCTGGGAAAAATGGGTTTTCCATGAAGCAGTGGATCTGTTTTTACCCTCACAAGACTTATGTTTTGTAAAAAAACAGAACGAGTTACCTTGTATGACATTGTTCTACCATACAATTGTGCAGCATGCTTAACGGCTCAGTAAAAAAAAAAAAAAAAGAAGCCGCATTTTTAACACTAACTTTAATCTTGGCCTATTAAAAAGCACAGTAAAATAAAAACATAAAACAAACTAGGAAACAAATGAAGATAAGGTTTTGTAATCCGCTGCAAATAGCATCAAGTAAATGGCTTTTGGCTGTGCAGTGCTCATTTACAAGGTTAGCTAGAACATCTATTTTATAGGTTTGCATCTTACAATAAATGAAATTACCCATTTTCTTGTGGTTGAGAGTCGCGGGAAGTAGAGTCATCTGTTGGAGTCTCTGCACTTCGTGTCAAATCCGCAGCATGGCTCCTTGCAGCAGATATAGCATGAGCAAACTCCAGCACATATCGAAGCATATCAGGTAAGGGACAACGGTTGGGTCCAGATCCATACTTCAGGTATCTGTAGAGCCATGTGTTGCATGTTAAATTCTATACACAACTACATTATTCTGTTACGTAATTAAGTTGCTAACAGGTAGAACTTAATCAACATGTAATGTTACAATTCTGCAACGATTCTATGGTAAAGGCAAAATCTACAAAATTAACAATCTAATTGGTATTGGTGGTTGCTGGTAGGCTAAATAATCTTGTGTTCAATTTGTCAGGGAGTCTGGACTATGAGATTGCCCAGGCAGAGGGCCTGCACCGCAGAACAACCGGACGACTTCCCTGATGCAGATAAACCTTTTTATTGATGGAAATAAAACACTCATAATAGGAGCGGTAGACATGTGCATCAAACAGACCAACAATGCTTAATATCACTGTTGCTGTGGATAAAGGAAGAGGAGGGATCCAGGAGACACTCAGGGAACTCTGCTCTCCTCACAGAGTCCCACTGCTAAACTCGTTTTTGGGGATACACCCCCTTCTTCAGGACCCTTTAAGCAAGGGGGTCTTACTTTTACTGCTGTGGCATCACCTCAATTCCACTCAAAAATTGTAAGCTCCTCGAGAAAGCACTGCATGAATTGTTGACCCTATGAAAATACCTGTAGTGGTAGTAACAATAATAATGGGATCCATCACTTTTTCCAATGCAGCCACTGCAAAAACACCAAGCATTTCGCAATATGGGAGAGCATGTGACCTACTCCCACAATGCAGTGCTGTGGCCTAGTATCAATCACTTAGCCCGGACACTGTCACATGACATGGGGAGTGGTGTCACTGCTCCCTATAAGCTCAGACACGTGGTATTTTGTTGGGGGAAAGTTGTAAAGCTGTTTAATACTGGGTTGGGTGGTGAGCTTTAAAGAGACCCAGCCAATTTGCATGAAAAAAGTAAGATACCCGGGTCTCTATTTTTGTAGCTGGATTCCCCCAAATGTTTGCTACTTTTACATTAGACTTTAGCAATGCGGTAGAGGTAAAAACTACAACAAGGTCATCTTGAAATTAGTCCGAGTCCAGGTGGAGAATTTTAAAGAGCACTTTGCTTTAAATGTAAAAAAAGAAAATGGGGAATTTATCTGCAAGAATAGCTTTCAAGAGTAGTGCAGAAGTACAGACTACAACAGGGCAATTTTGACATCAGGGCCTGTTTACATGTCTCCTTTTGGTCCCTTGGTGTCTGGCACACATGCTATTGCTCTATTACTTTCTGGTGAATGTAAATGAGGGACAAGAAATCACAAAAGGCATAGGCACTGTCTCACTGCTCAGGAATACAGCACAGATAATCAGTGCTGCTGCCTTGAGCCGGTTCTTAGATGCAGATTTTACCTGGAAGTAGTGGGGAATCAGACCTGCAGGGAAACCACTATGGTTTAGATCAGGGGTGCCCACAAGGTCGATCGCGATCTACCAGTCGATCGCGTTGTCCTCTCCTCCCGCCGCTTCTCTGGATCCCCGCTGCTCACTCACTAGTATGTACCAATCCTCTGTGCAGGACAACACTGGAGCGATCGGCTGATCACCCAAGTGTTTGTAAATAACAGGGGACACATAGTACTATGTGTCCCCAGTTATAAAAAGGACGTCGGGACATGTAGGGCGCACTGGAATGTAAGCCGGCCGACTCCCTGCGTTCAGGTGCGGGAGGGGGTGTGGAGTTGTATTGAAGTCAATGGCATCGCCCACATTGCGATCGCCCGCACTCGGAACGCAGGCACATTAGTGCCTGCATTCCGGTCCAGTGCGATCTGCAAAAATAGTGCTCGCAGAATTTTTGCGGATCGCACTGGACTGGAACACAGGCCCTAATGCAGGCGATCGCACTGTGGGCGAGGGGCCTGCCTGTGGAGCCTGGCTGCGGTGCCATTGACTTCAATGCAGGTGTTTTTTCGTTGGTAGATCTCAATGAGCTCGTCATTTGAAAAGTAGATCTCCAGACGAAAAATAGTGGGCGCCCCTGGTTTAGATGAACATATCTAGATCGCATTTTTATATTGTTCTAAATTTAGAAAGCACTGGGGACATGTAGACTGAAAATCAGTTTCTGATTTTAGCTATCCCGCATACCATATACTTGCTTTATTGCACAAACATGCATGACTGCCCTTCCCATTCATTTTAGCAACCGACGTGTCAGCGTACAGCTGGTATGAAGCATCGCTGGTGTCCTTGGGATGATGGGAACAGCAGGTGAAAGCGGGGGAGAAGGCAAGTATATTATTTTCTTTAGCTTTCCCCCACAGGGGTTTTTATATTTATTTGGAATTTTGAGATGAGGACCTCACTAAATAAGCAGACTTTGCTATTTTACTGCAAGGTCCGTTCTAAAGTCCAAGTGATATAGCACAAATAGACAGAAAATGTTCCAACATCCTCCATTTTCATAGTATAACCTCCACGTTCCTGTTTTAGCAACTGTGCACTGTGTTTAACAAGTACCAAAGATTGACCACTCTGTTCAGTGTACACTAACTGACCTGGTCAGACACAACCCTTCTCTGCCTTATCACTACAAGCCAGCGTGAGGATGCTTCTGATAAGGGGCGTGGCTGTTACTCAGCTATGCCAGCACAGAGCGCTGGAGTAGGAGAGCAGAAAGTGCATTTCCACTAAAATTAAAAGCTATTTTTAGGCACTGACAAATGAAAATCAGTTAAGCATACGACAATAAAGAAAATAAAAGGAAAAATAATTAATTATAAGACTCCCACTTTAAGGTTATTTATTTAAAAAGTATTGCATTTTTTACAGATTTTAGAATTACCCCTGAAAACTGCATTTTTAGGTTGGAAATCCCCATTATACCCTCCTGAACTGTACAACAGTACATAAAATACAATTCACGACCTGTGTGTACTGGAAACCTATCCGCCCCCCATCTTTGCTTCAGTGAAAGCTCCCTGCTCTACCAAGAGATATAGAGACCAAGAAATACTATACTAACAAGTCCCAAGTAGCAGCTTTAGAGATGTCTAATACACAAAAAGTGCTGGGCTGTATTTACTTTTTTTCAGTGCACATCATGAGTAGGGTGCAATCATGATCATTTAAAGACTTTTGTATTACCCCTGAGATCTTTACAGGATGAAACCTTTCAGTGGGCTCTTTAACAATGTTAAGTGCTGGAAATGGTTATTAACCTTGCTTTACCTTTCCAGTTTCTGATGGAGGTAGTCGATGTGCCTGTTCAGTTTCCTGACATCCCTTCGCTTCTTCCTAATGAGCTCTTTGTTTCTGTACAAGTACCTGCGAATAAAGGCTCAATTACTTGATGTCCCCAGACTCTCAGTGTGAACTCAATGAAGAAAGAACCATCTTTTTCATGTATAGTAACAGAAAAAATTACACGTTAAAGGAATATTTAATTTGCCAATTTAAAATGCGTCAATATAACAAGAAAAATTTGAACCTGTAAGTAAAAACACACTACAGTAAATGGAGAGGTACAAAAGGTATGTAAATATACCATCATCATGTTCAGTGATAATGTTTTTAAAGTTGAACTCAGGTAATCTTACAAAAAAAAAAATTATTTTAGGATATACTGCATCTAAAAACATTTAACATAGAGCTATAACTCTAAAGTGTCTCGGGGACCCTGTTGTTGAATACATAATGACATTCCTAGCATACAGTGTCCACTACGTCTGAAACAACTAATCGACAAATTCAATATTAATAGATAATGAAAATAGTTGACAACGATTTTCATTATCGATTAGTTGGTCTGTCGATTAGTTGTGCTGCTTGTAGCTCCTAACAGCCTCACTCGTGTGCGTGTTATTGACAGGCCGGGAAAAGCGTTCAAGAGCCCCTATTGACCGGTCGGGCACTGCCCGAGGACCTGCAGACTCCCCAAGTCTCTGCCTCCTCCTCCCCCCCGGGCTGCTTATAGTGGACGAGCCAAATAGGTTTTGTATGTGTGTTGTGTGTACTTTGTGTGAATTGTGTTGTATGTGTGCTGTGTGTATATTTTTTTGTATTACTTGTTGTATGTGTGCTGTGTGTGTGTATTTTGTGTGAATTATGTGTTGTATGTGTGCTGTGTGTAAACGAGGGGGGGGGGGGGGGGGGGGGGGGGGAGGA